TAAGGGGGAAAATCCAACATTAGAAATTACATTTGGTCCGGACATTTCCCCCCTATAAATAAATACCCGGGCAACACCTGGTTATCAGCTAGTATAATATAAAAAAGACCTGTCCCTGCAGTTGCTATTCCCACTTTCATTATAAAACCCTCTATCCAATATAATATTTACATATTGGATTGAGGGTTTTATAAATACAGATAGTGCTCGATGTACGACTGTAAATGAGCCCAAAATGTATGTTGCTAAGCGAGCTAGTTAAGTGAGTTTTGCCCCGTTTTACAACATTTCTTGCCACGGTTGTTAAGTGAATTATTGCATTTGTTAAGTTAGTAACATGGTTGTTAAATGAATCTGCTTTCCCTATTGGCTTTGCTTGTCAGAAGGTCGTAATATTTGATCACGTAACCCTGGGACGCTGCAGCCATCATAAATATGAGTCAGTTGCCAAGCGTCTGAATTTTGATCACATGACCATGGGGATGCTGCAACAATCATAAGTGTGAAAAACAGCCATAGGTTGCTTTCCTCAATACCTTTGTAACTTCAAAGAGTCACTAAATGAATTGTTGTAAGTCGAAGATGACCTGTGGATGATACCCAGCCGGCTCCATCGGCTGATGGTGCCTCAGGAGTCACAAGTGATCCATCAGGAAGTCTCCAGGACAAAGATCATCCTCTGGCTTCCTGCTGAATATTCTGGCTGCCTACCTTCCTCCCGTTTCTCTTCATGTAAGAAAGCAAGGCCACTGGCAAGGGATGATCCGAGCCGGATGCTGATCTCCCAGGAACAAATGTGATGGCTGAGGAAGTTCCGTAGGGATCCCTTTGAAGAAAGTGCAACGGATTCAGTTTAGGCCCAAACACAAAATGGTTGACATCAACATTCAACTTCTCATCATTATGGTGAAGGATGGGTCAGGATGAAGCAAACTGACAGAATAATTTTGGATAATAGGTTCCTCCGATGCCCAGCTGTAGCTTTTTTCCTTCCTTTTTTTAATTGTTATAAATCTTGATAGGTTGTATTATTTCACTGCAGACTTCAGTACAGCAATATTATATGTGCTATGATTAAAATCAGTAGTGGGATTTAAAAAAATTACTACCAGTTCTGTGGGCGTGGCTTTGTGGGCGTGGCAGGGGAAGGATTCTGCAAAATCCCCATTTCCTCACGATCAGCTGGGACTCGGGAGGCAGAGAATAGATGGGAGCAGGACCAGTCAGAGGTGGTATTTACTGGTTCTCTGAACTACTCAGAATTTCCACTACCAGTTCTCCAGAACTGGTCAGAACCTGCTGAATACCATCTACTATTAAAACTTATGACAGCATTTAGTGACTATTCAAAATTACAATAACATTGAAAAAAGTGTCTTATGACCGTTTTTCGGTCATACGACCATTGCAAATTTCTCATGGTCATGTGATCAGAATTTTTGACACTTGGCAGCTGGCTCGTGTTTATGACGGTTGCAGTGTCCCGGGGTCATGGGATCATCTTTTGTGACCTTCTGACAAGCAAAGGCAATAGAGGAGCCAGATTCACTTAACAACCATGTTACTAACTGAATAACTGCAGTTATTCACTTAACAGCTGTGTCAAGAAAGATTGTAAAACAAGTGCTTAGCAACTGAAATGTTGGCCGCAACTGTGTTCGTATGTTGAGGACTCCCTGTACTCTTATCTAGAAAGCTTAAAATAATTGAGGATAAAAAGAGAAAAGTAAAAATTCTATGCAGTTGAGAATATCAATATTGCACACATCGGTTTATGTGGCTCTTCATTCAAAGTTAAGTATTGGTTTTTAAATAGGATTATTTATTTATATTCAAATTAAGGCTTTGAAGAAGGAATGGGAATGGAGGAGAAGTTAGTGGATTGTAGAGAGAAGAACTGCGAACCAGGACCCTCTGTTTCTGATTGGGCAATGAGAGGATGGCTCAAATCCTCCTATCTTATCTGCGTTATGTGTTATTATGATACCAGTAGTCCTCGACTTACAACAGGTCATTTAGTGACCATTGAAAGTTATAGCAGCACTGAAAAAAGTGACTCCTGACCATTGTTCACACTTATGACCGTGGCATCATCCCCCATGGTCATGTCATTTACATTTGGATGCTTGACAACTGGTTCATAGTTACAATGGTTGCAGAGTTCTGGGGTCATGGGATCATTTTTTGCAACCTTCTGACAAGCAAATTAAATAGGGAAGCTGGATTCACTTTAAAAAAACAGTTACTAATTTGACAACTGCAGTGATGTCAAAAGTCATAAAACGGGGCGAAACTCACCAAATTTATTACTTAGCATAAATTCTGAACTCAATTGTGGTCATACAGCGAGGACTACCTGTATTATATTGCTGCCTGCTGAAGTTAGTTTAGCCATTAACAATTCCTTTCATGCCCATCACCCCATTCTACTATATGACATTTTAATTTGGAAATAAAGCTGAATCCATATCCTATTTCCTAATACTTCAGCAAAACCTTAAGATGTGGAATGTATTCCTTATCAAAACAAACAAACAAACCTGCAATATTCCTCATGGCAATATTCCTCATGGCAATGGGATTATAATAATATTAATACCTATGTACCTTGCTATACACTGGTGAAAGTTGTCGTGTATAATTTTTATTTATTTACTGGTATATCCCGCCTTTAGTATTTTTACCGAGAGCTGACATGGCATAGTGGTTAGAGTGCAGTACAGCAGGCTATTTCAGCTGACTGCTAACTGCAGTTCCGCAGTTCGATCCTGACCAGCTCAAGGTTGACTCAGCCTTCCATCTTTCCAAGGTAAAATGAGGACCCACATTGTTGAGAGCAATTGACTGACTCTGTAAACTGCTTAGAGAGGGCTGTAAAGCACTGTGAAGCGGTATATAACTCTATTGCTATTGCTATTTACAAATTATTCAAGGCAGTGAACATATCCAACACACTTCCTATTTTCCCCACAACAACCCTGTGAAGTGGGTTGAATTGAGAAAGAGTGACTGGTCCAAAATCACTCAGCTGGCTTTCAGGGCTAAGGCGGGACTAGAACTCCCAGTCTCCCTAACCTGATGCCTTATCCAAAGTAGCTCCCTACATACAAGATCACTTTTATTTTTTAACACCTAATTCCAATCATTTTCACCCATTCTTGCCCCCCGGCTCTTACCAATGGACACAGTGTCAGTACCAGGAGACCACAACGTTCTTCACTTGGTCCTCCATATCCAGCAGTCACAAGTCGTCCCACATTTTCGTGGTTCATCAATGGGAGGCTGTACATGGCCCACTCAGATGCAAATTGTTGATGGCACAAAGGAGGAAAGGCCTTGATGGCCACAGGTTGCTGGCCGAAGGTTCCTTGCCACAGTTTAGAAAGCTGCCCTTCGTGGAGAAGCTATTCCAAAAAGGATTAGGGAAAAGGATTAGTTACATTCCTATCAGTGCTTTAGGTAGGAGCTTGTTGTTTTCCAACTGTGCCAAGAAATTACAAACTCTTTGCCCACTGATCTTATTTTCTGTCCCTGATGACATTCCTTCTGCTGGTTGGAGAATTCTGGGAGTTGACGTTCACAGCTTTTAAAGTGGCCGAGCTTGGGCACACCTGTTATAGATAAAGCTAGCTTCCAGCTGATACAGGTAGTCCCTGACTTACAACAGTTCATTTAGTGACTGCTCAAAGTTACAATAGCACGGGAAAAAAGTGACTTATTTCCATTTTTCTGAGTTGTACAACTATCAAATGCAATGACTTGATCAAAATTCAGATGCTTGGCAACTGACTCATATTAATGACGGTTGCAGTGTTCCGGGGTCACATGATCCCCTTTTGCAATCTTACGACATACAAAGTCAATGAGGAAGCCAGGGGTGGGGGTGGGCTGCTATAGGTTCGCCCGGGTTCGGGAGAACCCCTAGCTAACGTTATAGCCGGTTCAGAGAACCTCCAAATCCCACCCTTGGCTGGCCCCTCCCATCCCACCCTGCCCCTCCCAGGAGTCTCCATGCAGCCCATTTTGGACGCGAGATAAGTGCAGAGCCTGCACGGAGGCTCAGGGAGGGGGAAAACTGGGCCTCCCTGAAATTCCAGAACCTGTTTCCAGCCTCTGGAGGGCCTCTGGGCCCTGGGGGAGGCAGTTTTTGCCCTCCCAGAGGCTCAAGGAAAGCCTCCGGAGCCTGGGGAAAGCTAAACTTCCTGCCCCCCCCCCCCCCCCCCCCCC